ACTAAGCCAGGAAACAAGCTTTCGAGTAGCATATCTGAACAGAGATAATACTTTACATGGTAGACTGTCTCTTGAATGCCTGAGGCAGGACAAAGTGGAACATGCAAATTTATGCACAGTGCTACTGTATGTATTTGTGTGTGTGTGTATCGGGAGTTGTTCACGTCTATTTTCAAACGTGTTGCTGGCTGCTTCATTCTCGCCCAGCGGTTGTGTAAACAAGTGGACATGTATACATTCACTGTGTGTGTGTGTGCGTCTGTGTGTGGGCATGCACACATGTAAGTTACTTTGATAGCGGTGCTGCTGCCTCAGCATAATTCAAACATCAGCTATCATCTCATTCTCACACACACACACACACACACACACACACACACACACACACACACACACACACACACACACACACACACACACACACACACACACACACACACACACACACACACACACACACACACACACACACACACAGAGTCTAGTTTGTACCCTGCACACGTTCAACGCCAGATAAGGCAGGAAGGAGAGACAGAATGAAAAACAGCACAGAGAGAGCGTCACATAATGTGTGTGTGTGTGAGAGAACAATAAAGAGAGCAACAGCAAGAAGGGTATTTGCCACTAATCCAAAAGCTCTTTAACCCACAAGTCACCCCTCCCCCCAATTCCTCCACACACACACACACACACACACACACACACACACACACACATACATACACAAACCATAACCTCCATCAATCTAAAGGAGAGCAGCGTGACTTGGAGAAAATATATGAGGTGTGATACATTTGTCGGATATTGCGATGGTGATGTGAATTGTAATAAACAGATGCAATTGCACTGTCTCATGCTTGTGCAAACTTCAAATATTGATAGCGAATATAAATCATTACAGTTTATTAGCAATAAGAGATCATTTAAAATGTATTATTCAGATTGCAATAATGATAACACTAATAATAGCCTTCTTATCCAATATTCAATCATATAATGTTCTGAGCCGCACTATTATTGTACAAATACAGATTTAGACAAACTTCTAAAAAGCAACTATTTAGTGTCCATGAAAACAATTGTGAGTGTGTTGTATACTATCTTATGAGAGTGTGTGTGGTGGGCTTTAGAATATGTTTTACATATTCTTACTCCTCATGTTTTTATGTATTTTACTATGTTTTATTTTCAAGCTTTTGTGCATTCTGTGTCCCACTTGGCTACAAGACAAATGTTCCCTTCAGGATAATAAAGTTAAGGATGCTGAATGATTACTCCTCCCTTGATAAGAAGACAACGCTCTAAACCTATTATTGTATATTTGCTTTGTTAGGATCCAATTCCAAACACAAGAAATAGACTTCATTTAAGCTCTCGCTAAAAAGGAGAGAAAGTTTATGAATCTCAGCTTTTCTGAATCTAATTAGCGAGTCCGATGTTGAATCTAATTTATCCATAAAAGCTCATCATGGAACAAAAGGTGGCATCATGGTCAAAATGTCACAGGTTAGATTCTGCCAGTTTTGGCTTATCAAGAGAAAGGCTGCGACTAACAATTAATCTGCAGACTATTTTAGATTATTAATAATCTTTTTGGTCTAAAATAGGGAAAATACACATTTTCCTATTATTAATTTAGTTTTTTCTCTTATCTTTAATTTCATTGTATTAATAGTATTTGTATCATTGTATTTTACAGTATTCATATTTGCTTTGGCAACACGTTTGATTTAAAACGTCATGCCAATAAAGCCAATTAAATTGAAAAATTGAAATTGAAATTAAAACATGGAAAAAGCAACAAATCCTTACATTTAAAAATCTGGAAGCCATTTTTTTTAGCCTTATTAATTTAAGAATCTAATTAATAGATTATCATTGATCTTTTTTTGTCAAGCGATGTTCTGATCAAGACCCACATGAGCCCTGTGATAGTAATCCCCCTCTTTTGCTTACACACACACACACACACACACACACACACACACATCAGTACAAGAGGAGCCACTCGGTTAGACGGTCACAACCAGTTTAAAGTCAGATAAGTTCCCAGTCAAATAAACGCACACACAAACAAATGGCCTCAGTGGTAGTAAAGCAGCCTTACTGTCAGAATAGCTGTTTGCTGCTTATTGATTTCCTATACATGTTTCCTCTGGCTGCCTCTCTCTCTCTCTCTCTCTCTCTCTCTCTGTTGCCCTTTTCAATTGTAAACTCAACACTCTCTCACTGATTAAATTTCTAACTTCCCCTCCCTGACACTGTCACTGCCAACATTTGCAAACTTAACACTCTGATTAAACACTACTACTGACTCTGTGGTTGGGGAGAGCCGCGTCCTTTCTCTCTCCACTTTGATTCAATATCCCAGTGTGTCTCTATTATCGTAAACACACATGATAAAATACCTGGGCTTTCTAGCTGGATGACTTTTTATCAACCTCTCTCTCAATTCACCTTTACAGTTCTGTCCGTTCTACAGACGGCATGAAAGATTGAAAGGGTGAGCTAAATTATCCATCTGTGATTTCCATCTGCAGCCGCTGGCTATGGTATGCGGCCAAAGCCTCGCTAAGTCCTTCAAATGTCACAGTGTGGTCATGGCATACCAGCAGAGAGACACTGCGAGTCTGACTGGAGCTTTAGGACAAATCAAATCAATCAGAATAAAAGTCCGTCTAAAAAAGGAAAAGTCAAGTGCACACAGAGAGAGCGAGAGAGGGAGAGGGAGAGAGAGAGAGAGAGAGAGAGAGAGAGAGAGAGAGAGAGAGAGGATGTTACTTCACAGCACCCAGCGAGTAATTCACTACCATCAAAAGGTTAACAATGAAACTCGCCACGTACATAAAGTGTACACAGATATGTACACACAACAGAGCCCGGCTGACTTTTCACATATTTATGTGTATTTGTGTATAAGTGGGCAGTTACGCACACATAAAATTATAGCACACACACACACAGGATGTTTTATAGGCTCCATTTTTATGTATTTTAGACTTTTCTACGTATTTTCTTAATTTAAGGTTTAAAGATGAATGATTTATCTTGATGATGATTTAACTTACAATGGAGTTTAAAGGTCAATATGCAACACTATCTGTTAGAATACTGTTGAGTAAAGTTGTATGTTTGTCAAACTTCTTTAATACAACATTTTAAGAGGTCAAAAATATATATGTCGAGCATTTAAAAAGGTAATATCGACCAGTTTTTGTTGATATTTGTCACACATTAGCAGAGAGTAATATGAAAACTAGCGGTTGTTTTCATAATGTGTTGTTTATTTTCTAAAATTAATGAGAAAGCCATTTCCCCAGAGCCAAAGTTAAAAAAACAAAACAAAAAGACATTTAATTTAAGGTGATATTTAGAAAAATGGAAAAACACAATTCTCGGATTTGCAAAGCTGGGACAAGCAAATATTTCTCTTCTTCTTTGATAAATAACTGAAACAGTTAACTGATTGATGCTCTCTCTATCAATTCGCTGTGTCATAATTTCAGCACTAACAGTAGCATGTTCTTGTTTTTTGTTAAGAAAGTATTTCCCAAATATCATTCATACATTTGTTTAGCTAAGAATCACAATATAAACATTACTGAACTAAAAATGAGAACAATGCAAATAAAAGACAATAAGGGGAAACAGAGGACAGACAGACATGAATAGAGGGATAGAAAAATAGCAAAACAGTGGAGACGATGGAGTGAGGCAGAGAGAGAGAGAGAGAGAGAGAGAGAGAGAGAGAGAGAGAGGGAGAGACACATGGTTAGGCTACTTTGCCCTGGCTCGTCTCTCAGCTTCTCCTGTTACAACCCTAGCAACCTCAGGTCAGACTAAATAAACCCTCAGCACAAATTCTCCACGTGAGGAGCAGCACGGTGCAAAGGTCAACCTAATGCCACATTCTCAAAGAAAAAATAAAATAGTCACCACCACTGCCACAACGTGCTACATTGGGCTCTTTATGACGACCCTGGAGTATTAGCATTTGTGCAACACCCACACTGGGTTGCTGAGCAGTTGTGTCTGCTGCCTGTATGTTACAAACGTAATAATTTACTGTACAGCACCCGGTGTAAGTGGGCCAGTGCCAAATGCCGGGATGCTTCTAGTGTTTGGTGTTTTGGTGTACTAATATCATTCTGCTCAGCACATTAATACATCTTTTGGATTACCATCTTCCTTTTTTTTTTTTAATCTGCATACTATTGAAAGGCTATATAAGGAATGGATATAACAAGTAGCCTGTGGGGTTTGTATCTTAGCCCACTGCCCACGCTCTCACACCAACAGGCTGCCCAAGAAATTCATGTCAGTGTCTTTCTGCCAACAAATAAACCAAAAAACAACAATACCCTATCACAACAAGTACATTTTTATGCAAACAATTGTTTTTATATTGTAGTGTTATACTATATATATCAGAGTCTCACCAAGTTAAATTTAAGGCTTGGCACGTTTAAACCACACAGATGTATATGTATGTAAATATGATTTTATTTCTTTTTTTTTAGTACTATAATTATAATAAATAATAAATATTATTATAATTCAACTAATGCAACCTGGACCCAAATAAGTGGCGTCAAATGGATAGACGGATAAAACCAATTAGAAAACTATTAATTCATTAAGTTTTTGCTAAAAGTGACATTTGCCCATTATGACATAAGAAGCTACTTAGCTACTGTAGCTAGCAATAGTGACAGTGTATACAATAGATCTCACAGTGCTGACTGAAAGGACTGAACAGCCTCCTGCACAAACAATCCCACTTTCAGTTTATACATGTGTAACATCTCCCAGCCCACAACCGGACACAATAACTGTAACTAATATTACTGTTTACAGCAGGAAAGAGAAAATATTTAAGATTTTTTAAAGTTTCTCGTACATGCTTGGAAAGTGAGCGGTTATTGAGCTTGTCGCAATCTGCCACTAAATCCTGCACACTGGTTCTTTAATCAATGAGTCAATTGACGGCACACACGCAGTCGTTTCAATAAATTCCATACTTACTCCTGGTCACATGACAACAACTAAACAATCTCCATAATAAAGGAGCAACTCCATGCACTTAGGAAGGCCACGTGATGTGATCGAGAGCGGACCTTGTGTTGGGAATTGTTTTGTCATGCTGTTTTATTCACTTGCTCCAGCTTTCCAAATGTAAGCATTAGCTGTTTTTCTTTTTACATTTTATTGTAAGTTGAATTCTTTTTGGTTTTGGACTGTTGGTTGGACATAAAAAGCTATTTGAAGACATCACCACAGGCTCTGGAAAAATCTGGGCATTTTATGACTACTTCATGGACCAAACCGTTCACTAAATAAAAAAAAAACTTTCATCCCTACATAAATCACTTGGTTTGCATGCGTGTGTGTTTCCACCAACCTTTAATCGGCTGCTTGACTTCTCCGTTCTCCCTCTTGATCTCGTTGATCACTTTGTGCTTCTTCTTCTCCTTTTCTCTCTCTCCGTCTTTGACCTTCTTCTTCTCCCTCTCCTCTCTGTCTCTCTCTTTCGCCTTGTCCTTGTTGGAGTGCTCTGCGGAGGCGGGAAGGGAAGATTTCAGATTTGATGGTAGAAACACATTAGCACTCAGATTTATACACTCGCAAACACACACAGACACAAAACAGATACTACACTCCATTCACTTTGAATTTTTTTTTTATTAGGGCCTTAACTGAACTCTCGCCAAGAGCTTCACCTTGGCCGGCAACCTTAACTTTTCCTTAATCTTGTTGGTCTTCCACCCACGAAATGTTTGACTTTTCCTTCCCTGCTGCAACAAATTCATCTCTCCACCAAGCCTCTACACTCTTATCTACTCTCACGTTTCCTCAGCACTGTAGTAATTACCTTTCAATTCCCTTTAAAGACTGCACCAGTCACTCATAACCTTGAAGCTACATCCCATCAGGATATACGTACTCCCGTAAACTCATCGCTGTCCCATGTTCTGCCTCTACTAGCTTCCACATGCTCCGCTCTTAAAAAGTCCTTAAATCCTCCCTTGCTTTTGGGCTTATTTCCTCTTCCAGCTCTTCTCCGTCTGACAGAATCATTTGAGCGTTGAGGTATTATTACAGTTTGAGGAATTGGAGTGCACTCTAATGTTGCACTCATTGCAAATCGCTCTGGATGAGAGCATCAGTTTAAAATGTAAATATCATACCATCACACACACACACACACACACACACCTCCTCGGCTACTGAAGTGTTTTCCATCAGGCAAAGCGTGTGGATGGATGTAGCATCTTTCACCTCTTGCCATGCTAGGAAAACCTCACCTTCTTAAAATACCTTTCATTTTATCTAATCTTTTATACCTCTCCTCTTTTGATTCTTTAGTTCTTTTCATTTCCTATTAAAGGAAATAAGAAACCCTCCTTTATTTTTTGCACATAGTATTGCATAGTTCTTTTGCCGATTCTCTTTCTTTTCCTTTCCAAAGAACTTTTTACTTTGAACTCAGTCAGATCCGTCTTTAAAAGGAAGCTGTGTTTTCAGACTGTTCACTCTCCTGTGGATGTGTGGAGTGGGAAAGTGAACACAGTGGGGTTGGACTTGCTGTTTGTGGGATCAAAGGAGAAAATGCTTTGAAAGTAAAAAAGGCTTAAAAGGAGCAGTAGGAGAATTAGAGGTACATCGATACACTCTTTTTAATGATTATATTTAAATAAATACCACGGCATTTTGAAGTTTAGCGGATCGTTTTCCTTTGTTACTTAACGTGGAGGTAGTCATGCCCCTCGTACCCCGTGGCTAACAGGAGGAACTCCAAGCATGTTAACAAACTATTTTAAGAAAATGAATGCTGTAAAATTACCTGACACTGTAAGCTGCCTGGTGAAAAAAACACAAAAAAAACCACACGTTTCAAAACATCAATCTAGCTCCACAGGAAGTTTCCTACAAAACATCTACTGCCAGATTTATAAAAACATGTCAGACCTTGCCGGAGCTGTAACATTCATAAACTTTAAATTTAGAGGCAAAGGGAGATAAATTGGGCCAGGTGGCTGACCAAGCCTTAAATAAACAGGAGAACGTGCTGATTTATCACAGCCTGAGAGAAGGCTCCCCCCCGTTGAAATTAAGAGGAGGCTATCTAATGACTGACTCAAGTTCAAATTGGCCAGTAACTAAAACGTAAAGCAGCGTCAACACTAGAGGTTGAATCAGAAATAAAAGGGACGCATTAAAGTGAAACTTTTTTCTCATTTTGTTTTCTGACTTTCTTGCAGCAGACGGTTTTGAAAGGGAAACACAGCAGGTGGTTTTCACTGTTTGGATGATCACAGGAGAGAGAAGACTTTGAAAGATAGAGGGCCAGAGGCAGGCAGTTTGTAACCACTGCTACACCAGTACCCACCTCTACCTGACTTTTTGGAGTTGGAGAGGAGAATCATAAATTCAGAAAGTCTATGGGGTATCCACATTTGTTTTTTTTAATATAAAATCTCACCTATCTTTAAAATTCCCTTTGTCCATTTAATGTTTAACATTTAACTTCCATTAACCTGCGGCATTGAAGTTAAACACTGTTGCCCAGATTTGTTTGAATGTGTTAGCAGTGTGATGAGAATACCGACCTGTCCAGGATAACCTGAACCAAAACAAGATTAAAGAATTCTATTAAACTTACAAGTGTTAATGTTAATTATATAAAAGGTTTCAATGCCCTATAATATTTTATTTAACATTTATTTCTACATTCAGAGAATCTGATTATATTACTGACAAACGGTTTCTTTCAACCTCTGGACATCTTTCCATTAAACAGGGATAAAAAAACAGTTAAAAGCCAACCTGGCTTACAATAAGCGTGTGCATTATTAAGGGTTAAAACATAAGACATATGTCACTTCTACTATGTGTCTGTCATCAGCAGCTTTGCAAACATTTAACTGAAGCTGAAAGAGAAGGAAAGATGGAGCCGGCCAGGCAGACTAATTACGAACAAAACACAAACTATTTTGAAATCTTTTTGGATCAGTGTTGTTGAACTGACTGTAGAACAGGTAAACCTGCCCACCAGGAAAATCCTGCTACTCCAGATGGTCAGTGCACCCCCACCAGTGTGGCAGATCCATGCTTCACAATTCAAGCTGATCTCAAAATAATTTAAGGTTTACACAGTCTTTGTCATTCTATTGAACTTCTATTTCCCACACAGAATTAAGTGTCTTGTATTTTTTTTTAGGACTGAACAAATGACCCAGCCAACGGTAATTCAATTGGGTGCTGTTTGCAGCTAAGCTTCATTTTCTCCCCCTTGCTGTACACTGTATTCTGTCAACATCGTGCATTTACATGCACACATAAAAACCTAATTACTGCACTTCAGACATTTACATTGCTCACAACAACACGACTCCCACAACAACGCAGGTTTACATGACTTATTCAATGGCCAAAATGATGTCCACAATAATACATGGCAATTTATAGGCCAATAGGAAACTGGAATACTGAATAATCACACAAAATATGGATTTAATCTGTGCTCACTGTTTTGCAAGTTGTTGTGTTTTAAAGGTACCTTCATGAAAGCAATGCTGGATTTGTCTGAATTCAACCTAATGGGTGGTAGGATAATCTTTAGGAGAACAGCATTTGGTTATAATTATAATATCAGATACAGGGCATAAAAGTAGAACTAGCCACCAACCAAATGCTGGTAAAATAAAGTGGTAGATTTGGTCCACTTACCAGCCAAAAAACAATCAATAGTAATCTATTGAGTGGCTGGTAAACACTCATTTGCCATTTGGCTGGTGGACAGAAAAAGTTAATTTTGCAGCCTGATCAGACTGCATGTAAATTCATTGGGTGTCAACAAAAGGTCACGCAGCTAAATACTAAATCTGCTCTCAGTGAGCATTTACTGACCTTTGAGTTAAACAACAAATTCTTTCACACTGGATCAGTCTGCCCTAATGCTGCAGTGTTTCCTCGTCTCGGCCCTTAATGCACTAGTCAAGACTCATGTCTCTTATTTTAATACCAAATGTAACCAGGAGTCACTGCTCCCTGGCAGTTCCCTTCAGCTCTTCCACCACTAATAATATTACTGTGATGATGTGATACTCTTTTGATCCCTGTAGGAAAATTCCCTTTCAGGAAGGTCAGAGCACAAACGGCTTCAGAGCAGCGCTCCTGAAGCTGCCAGGACTCTCTGCCTTAAGGACTCAAACTCGTGCCCTCCTGTTGAACAGCAGTCTGTTTAACCACTGGGCCATCCTGCTACTCAACACCTATTATAAAAACCCAAATCAAGTAACATGTTTTCAGTGTCACATTAAGGCCGTGTCGACTGCAGCGGTGTCACAGAGAGGAGGAAGGAGACTGTCGCCAGTTTTTACAGGAAGTTGCAGCTCAGAACGGAGCATTTTAATCCCTGAAACATTTTGCTCAGGATTAATGTGCGCTTTCCAGCAACACACTGCTCCACTTTCATATACTTCTTCATCTTCAGATTTGAAGCTACTCAGAATAATTACAGTCTCCCACTGCTGGTCATTGAGCAGCTCACCACAGCAATTAGAGGTTCAGTGCTTTGCTCAAGAGCACCTCAGTGGGACTGTTGAAGGAGTGCTATTATTATGGCTGCATCTAAATTTTCCCAGTCAGGTCCAGAGAGGGAAATGTTGCTGCCTAAATAATAGCACTGCAGAGGTGTTTTTAAAAATATTCTTAACACACAGGCATACCACATTAACGGTTTTAAAAGGAACATAACACACAAATGAAAACGTACCTCTTACACTGGTGAACTACACTAATTTATGATTAGTCTTATGATTTCTCAATAAAACATTATTCATTACTGAGTTAAAAGACTCTCACGTCACATCATATTTTTGTGTTCTCATTTCAGACTAATGACTAACGCCAGCCTCTGTCTGTTCTTAAATCCCTATAAAGCATGCAAGCACATCCAACACAGCCTGTTTACAAGACTGTGTTTCATGCCAACTACATGTCTCGTCCCGGTGTCCTCACTGACTGCAGTGGCTGTTCAGAGCATGTCATGACCTCTTAAACTACCCAACTGGAAAAGGGTGACATCATGCACTCACACACACTCGCATGTGTCCACTCGGTACTCCCGCTAGTGTCCAAACAATCACACACGCATAACATTTATGCACACTGGCAGACACAAATGCACACATAGAGAGATTTTGAGACACTGCTTTGGTGTGATAATGACAAAACACCCACAAAAACTAAATAAAATAAAAAAGACTAACACAAGGCCCACTAATGAGACAACGATAAAACAGAAATTAGTCACTTTGGTGTTGTGGCCCAGTCAGTCAACTAAATATAATAATTCCTCCACTAATCAAATTAATCTCTCTTATAAAATGTGACATCCAAGAACATATCTGTAATTTTATTAATGGCCTGATAACAATTATGTCTATGGTTGAAAAGCATATCCTTTATTCTACAATGTAAAAAATATATACATTTAGCCTTTTATATATATATATATATATGACTAGATGTGGTATTTTCTGTTCTTAATGCTGTCTTTTCTGTCCTTAAAGGGTGCATTCTTAATTAATTCATATTTAACTGACCCAAATGAAAGTATTCAGGGGTTTTCCCTCTCGCCCACCTAAATGACATGCACTCGCCATCCTCAAAACAAAACCAAATGTGGAGGTATATTGATTAAGAATGTAGGACTACTTGCTATAATCAAAAGGGTCCAAGCGCAATTACTTCATTGTAATAATAAAAGGTTTCGACGGTAAACCAAGTGAATGTAGAAGTGGTGGACTGAACACAACATGCTCTGTCTGTACAACTGTCGAACATGGAGTAATAACAACAAGCTGTAGAGCTCTGTGTCTGTTTCCCATACAGCCTGAGGTTACAGAGGGGGGCGTGGTGCTCTACCAAAACAACACTTACCCTATAATGGCGGGCGGCTGTCATATTGTTATGACAGCAGCGTGCAGTTTTACATACATACATACATACATACATACATACATACATATATCTCTCCAAATAAAAAAAATTAAATAAATGTACATGCGCACTGATGTTACAGAATAACTACTAATTTACATAAATCGTTACGCTGACACTACGGACATCATAGCGTATTTAAATACCGTTTAATAACACCTTAAGTACGTTACTGTTAAACGTATAATAAATAAAACGGGTTATATTTTGTCTATACGACGTAACTACGTAACAATTCCGCAGCAGCAGCACGAGAGCAGCTGGTTACAATGTAACAAACCAGGTCGCGCGACTGCTGCCCTGGAACGCCGCTGTGGAGCTCGAGGGTTCACGAGCGGGTGAACAAGCGACGACCGTTGGCAGCCATAAGCCCCTAGCAACGGCGACCGGAGCTGGGCTCTTAGAGACACTCAACTCGGGGTAGACATCTTTAAAAACGCTCGGTATATATATGAGTAAAAACCCCGAGAGGTCTGCGGGTTCCCACACAGCGTCTAGGAGCGCCTTTTTGAGCGGTAGCTAGTCCGAAAACGGGACTGTCCAGACAAATTGTGTGGCAGGGAACTGCACACTCCGGGGCCACATGTACACGATCCCCCAAGTGGCTGAATCCACGATGAGCCAAGTAACTATAAAAAAAAAGGGCAAGAACTCTAGCATACTTATAATAAACACACAGCTCAAAACTTTATGAATTCAAGTGCAATGTAACGAGAGAAAATAGACTATGATGGCCTACCTTTGGGTGGCAAAATGACCTCTCCATTTTCTCTCTTCGCTGCAGAAGTGTTATTAAATCTGCTGATATCGTTGTTGTTGTTACCAACGTTACTCCCGGGGCCGGGGGTCACCACCAGTTTATGTTTCTTTTTCTCCTCTCCGCCTCCTTTACCCTTCTCCCTCTCTTTCTCCCGCTGTTTATCTTTATTCGGCTTCTTGGCTCTGGAGGAGGAAGGCGCTTTGTGGAGGAAGAAATCGCTCTGTTTGAAGACTTTGTGTGTGTTTGTCGGTGGTTGGGATCCTCCGGTAGCAGGCACCGGAGGGTTGTTGCTGCTCGCCTTAACCGGGCTGAAGCTCCACAAACCCGCGCCGCTGCCACAACTCTGCTGCTTCGTGGGCTGCTGGAGTTTCTCCCTGCCGCTACCGTTGCCTCCCACTCCTCCTTCCCGGCTGAGTTTCTTGGGTTTAACGCTCCTCTCCTCCACTCGGACCTTCTTGGGCGGCGGCGGCGGCGGCGGCGGCGGGTTGAAATCCCGGGAAGACTGAGAGCGGTTGTCAGCGGCTCCCTTCGCCTCGGTCGGCTTGACGAGCGGGCTCTTGGCGGAGGCGACCGCCGGGGCTACCGCAGTAGCAGCAGCAGCGGCTCCGGTGAGGTGAGCGGAGCCCAGCGAGTCAGCCATCTTGAGGCTTCTCTCTATTTACTCTCTTTCCCCAACGGCCGCCGCTGCTGTTTTTTTGCGCGACGTGCAAGCAGGCAGTGAAGGGGCGGGGCCGACGTTTGATTGACGGGCAGGGCAGGGAGGGGGCGGGATTAAGGTTTGATTGACAGGCAGAGAGGGAAAAACTAGAGGCGGGGCTTAGCAGCTGTATACTGTTAATGTGTTTTTATAAAGATATAATAATGAGGGGAAAGACTTAAAGTTAAGGCAAAGTGGTTGAGATTACTGGTTAATTATCATCCAGAAAGAACTCATTAATCTAACCCAGCCTTAATTATTACAAAGATTATTTTTATTATAATTTAATGATAATATTATTATAATATATTTGATTATTATTCTGATTAATGGTTGTTAGGGGGTTGTTTGTGTCAACAAAAGGTCAGAAAATTATGAAAAATGTCTGTCACATTCCCAGATACCAAGGCAGTGTTTTCAGATTGTTTTCACTGACCAACAGTCAAAAAAACCCAAACAAATGTCATCTATTATTATATAAAACATAAATAATCTGGACAAGGTTTACATTTGAGAGGCTGAAATGAGAGGTTCTGTATTTTTAGGACTACGAAACAAATCATTTTCGGTCAATCAAAGTTAATATCATAATTCATTCATCATAATTTCAGCACTATCCTTCCATACATTGAAAATGTTTGTCAAAAAGAAAGAGGCAAAACTCATGTAAACGTTTTTTTGTGGTTTTGACTGTAAAAATAACTATTGCGTCTGTCAATAAGCATCAACCACAGCCACCTGTATACGGCTGTAGACCACCAATAACACCAGTTATTAGTTTACTGTAGAGCTGAAATGATTCAGTTTTTATAGGGTTCACTTTTACATCTGGATTTGAGACTGTGCAGTCGAACGTGCCTGCAGTTCTTCACTTATGGCTGGATAACTAATGATCTTGAAGCACATGAACTCCCACATGGTGAAAGGTGTGGTGTACAGGGTGTCCAGTCTAAAGGGACCTGCTAGTTGAAAACACACTGCACGTTGTGGCCGTCACCCCTTGCATTCACCTTCAGTTTTGTTGTTTTGTTTGTGTTGCCGTTTCATGATATGTCTTGTATTTAGTTTGAATGTTTTTGTATAATGATAAAACTGTGCATAAAAAAAAACTCTTACAAGAAAACAAAACACAGAACGCTGCCCTCGTCTGACTGACAGGACGTGTAGAGGGAAGTGTGGTGGCCTTTATGCGTGTGTTTGTTGAAATGTAAATGTTCTCATCAAAGGGATTAACTTGCCCTCTTTCATCTAATCTTCACAACTGGACGAGTTTAGCACTCACAGAGCACATCATTATACAGTGCCATGAATCCTCCGGCGCTGTTTACACTTTGATTTATTGAGATGAAAACATTTTCTTCACTCAGACTGATTGGCGGAGCTCTTGGTACGAGGCCTGTCAGTGTGTGACAGCCAAGCGTGAATACTAAACATGATTAGCGGCTGCACGGGGCGGGTTGTAAAGTTACAACTGGCCATAAACATTGTGACACGATTATTGTATGATGCAAACCAAAAGTGGGAATGTGACGTCTGTAACAGTCCAGAAGAACAACCGTGAAGGATGTGTGAGTGTGGACAAAAATCTTCCAGCATTTTCTGTATGTGACTAACATAACTAAAAATAATCTGGTTGTATACGTTGTACTGCATATTCCAGGCTTTAAAAACAGAGCTGACACAATTTTCACTTTCTTCAGATGGCAGCGCTGCCTGCTGCTACTGCTCACATACACTGAACACTGATTGGCTATATTTATAAGCCATTACATAACATGTTAAACTGCTCCATGGGAAAACTGAGGTGACCCAGTTAAGACAGCAACCTGGCTTAATTTATACAACAGAGAGAGTGTGAGTGAGTGTGTGTGTGTGAGAAACTACTGTGTGCTGCACAGATGAAACACTGCCTTGATTATCATATAAGTAAAAAAAAAAGGCAAGGAGTAAAATAAAGGGGAGGAAGTTGGAAAACAGTGCAGGAGGAGTGCTGAGAGGCCGGTGCAATGAATGAACTGGATCCTGCCTTATGATGCAATATATGTATTTTTATGGATTAAAAACTCATTTTGACGGGATGTCACAGGATGTACAGTAGTTTGACCATTTTGGCTCAGAGTTATGGATGTCTTGGGGTAGATGCAGTGGTCACATACTCTAGAGCAGTGGTTCCCAGCTTTTTTCTTCTCTCTTTCCGGATAATTTTTTACATACAATTCCACTGCTTGAGAGGTTCTTGACATTGGGGACACCCCCAGGGATCCTTGAGGGGGTTCCAGGGGGTCCCCAGAAAAATAGTGAATATCTTAATTTCACTTTTATTTAATTGGCTAAAAGTTGGCCGAATGTGAGCATGTATAAGAATGACTATTTACCACTCTTCACTGTTACTCTGCCAATCCACAGTATAGACAATTATAGAATAACTCAAATCTTATTAGACGGCGATCCCTGAGACTACATCTTATCAAATACTGGTCTGCAGCCTGATGTGTGTTATGTGTAATTTTGGGGTCTTTTGATTTGATTGTATACAGCAATATTAATCAGAATTGAGGTGGTATCCTATTCTCAGTAGATCAAAAGAAAGTTTAGAGACTCCAACTATATAAATGTCTATCACAGCTAAAAACAGTCAGTTTTCTTTTTCCTTTTATTGTTGATTTTCTTACTTCCCTTACCATCCACTCCTGTAGCCCTGAAATGATGTCGCTATTCTCCCCTCAAGGCTGATGTTTCCAGCTGTTAAAGCAAACTAATGACTACAACTATGACTATAACCACCTCTGCTGCAACAGTGACATTGTATTGTAATGTGCTGTATAATTAATATGAAATGAGTATAATCACAGTAAGTCTTCCCTCCTGCTGCGCCTCTCTCTGTGTGCAAAGTGAATACAAATGTGAATCCCTCAAGGTCTCCGCGTAAGACTGTGTTTTTACCACCTGCAGTGATTAATTAATCGCCATATTAGTGTATGTGTGTGTGTGTGTACATTCATCTCAACAGATCTTCCAGGTGTGGGAGACGATCTCCTGCTGTGACCCCCCCCCGCCTGTACACACACACACACACACACACACACACAAACACGATTGACATTATCTGATTATATGTGCAGAGCTGTTAGCCAGTAGGAGACACAATTCAATTATTTCCTTTCTTGAGACAAGTCAGTGATTTTATTAACCACTTAACTGTTGTATATATTGTAAATTAAAGCGGTCTGTACCTACACACACAGTCAAAACAACCTGCACACATACTTTTTAGTTACATCATCTCGTACGAATAAAAACAAAGAGGCGTGTCTTTACTTAATGTTCATTTTTACTGATTGATTTCTGCAACATACAAACATTTTGGGGTGTGTGTGTGTGTGTGTGTGTGTGTGTGGGGGGAGCGCATTAGGGAGCTGAACGAGAGTCCCACAGGAGGCGATGAGCAAGCAGCAGCGAAATCACATCGCTCAAACTCATGCCGCTAACGATGACTGGAGGGGGGAGGGGGGGCTCTCACTTAAAGGCACAGGTGGGCTCTTTTCTGAGATCGAGGCTAGTGTGGATGTGGAGGGGTTCAGTAGGTAGATGGGTGTGTGTGCTGGATGAACCGAAAGAAACGGGAGGATTGGAAAAACAAAACAGACGATACAGACTTTTTTCTCAACACGTCTGCTCACTGGAAAATTTGGTTACTTTGAACCACCAACAAGTTCGAGATCCTTCGCTAAAGTGAACAGATCTGCTGGCACGCAGATGTGTTGAAAATGACAGCCTTTTAAAAATTAAAGAGGCAGAGACAGGCTGGGAGGGAGGGGGACAGGGGGAAAAAAGAGAAAAACAGCAAGGGGAAGTATGCAGGAAGCAAAGGAAGAGAAGAATAATGAGACGCTCCTTGTCCAGAGCAGGAGATCCATCTCTGCTGCATTTACATTAAAAGAGCAAGCTGAGAGATGGGAAAAAAAGTTTTAAAAAAAAGATAAAAAAGACAGTGAGAGTATGTGAGAAGAGAGGGGAGATGTGGGGGGAGGTTTGGGGTGGGGAGCAGTGGACTTGTGACGCAACAAACAACCGCGTATACAAAAATAACTTTTAAAATACCATTTACAAAAAAAACGACCATTATTATTATTATTTATCATCATTAATATTATTATTACAATCTTATCCGAAGCCCGATGTAGCTATCTGAAAGGGGGGGAGGAGGGGGCTTTACTCAATCCTTTTCCACTGCCGACCAATTAAAACAAACAAAAAATTCAATATTTTTAAGCATATAATTCGAACATAAAAATAAAAACAAACCCTGAAATATTTGCCGGAAGCAAAAACAAAAAGGGCAGCAGAATAATTTACAGATTGAAGGGAAACATCGTGTAGGGGAGGAATCATCGTCATCATCATCATGCACTGACTTTCTTACATCTTCTGTTAATAAGAATATTTAAGAGATAACAAAAACAAAAACAAATCTGAAATATTATATACCTAAACTGCCCTGTACAGTTCTTTATCTTTATAAAACAATGCATATACTGTATAGTTATGGTAGCTAATGAAGGAGAAGTTAGCAGAGAACAATAAAACAGTAGTCCTGGGTCCCTAGCTGCTGTTGTCTTATTGGATCTTTGTCTCACACATACAGATAGCAGGTACAGTATGAGTTTTTTTAAACTTGGCCATCAGATGAGAAACCGTTCAAGTCCTGTTTGGAGAGAAGGGCTTGTTTTTTTGGGAAACGGGACTTTATATTAATCTGTCAAGCCCCTATAAGAGATGCATGAAGTGTAACATCCCCGCTCCCGAAAACACTGAGGTTCACTTTGAGTAAACTGGCTGCTACAATACAAAGAACTGACTTGCGTGGTTGTTCATCTGAGGGCCAGAGGGAGGAGGAGAATGGGAACAGATGAGCAAAAGGTACAACAAAAGAGAGAGAGAGAGAAAAAATGAAATAAACAGCAATTTTGAGTCCCAAGTAAAGACCAAGAGAAGCCAAATACACAGAAAGAGAAATGAAGTGAAGAGAAGGAGCC